GTCGTGTTTCTGAAGCAATTTTCCAAACAGAAGAGATGGCTGGGAAAATATCATCTTACAAATATGAGGGGAAAGGTTTAGCAAAACACACAAACCCTCTCCCAGATAAAGTTTCTTTTTGCACACACACACACATTTGTTCTTTCATTGTGTAACACTGCCATCTTTTGGAGATTGGTATGCTGCCTCGGAAATATGAAGGGCATTCTTCAAAAATAGAACATAGAATAATAATCAGAATCAGAATAACAGACTCAGAAGGGACCTTGTAGGGCGTCTAGTCCAACCCCCTCCACCCAAGCAGGAGACCCTACACCATTTCTGACAGATGGCAGTCCACTCTCTTTCTGAAAGCCTCTAGTGATGGAGCATCCTTAACATCTGAAGGCAAGCTACAGTATTCCATGGGTTGATTGCTCTCGTCTTAGTTCTAGGTTGCTTCTCTCCGTGCTTAGTCTCCATCTATTGCTTCTTCTTATGCCTTCTGGCTTTATGGAAAATAGGTTGAGCCCCTCGTCTTCAAATACTGGAAGACTTGCTATCAATTAAATTTCATTTTTAATGTGTGCCGTTGTGCCCACAGGAAAAAAATTGCAATAAAAGTTATCTAATCTAATCTAGTCCTTCTTTTCATTAGACTAGACCAGGGGTAGGCAACCTTGACTCTTTTATGACTCGTGGACTTCAACTCCCAGAATTCCTGAGCCAGCATGGGGGAACTATGGCCCCTTCATGACTTGAGGACTTCAACTCCCAGAATTCCTGAGCCAGCATGGGGGAACTATGGCCCCTTCATGACTTGTGGACTTCAACTCCCAGAATTCCTGAGCCATCATGGGGGAACTATGGCCCCTTCATGACTTGTGGACTTCAACTCCCAGAATTCCTGAGCCAGCATGGGGGAAACTATGGCCCCTTCATGACTTGGGGACTTCAACTCCCAGAATTCCTGAGCCATCATGGGGGAACTATGGCCCCTTCATGACTTGGGGACTTCAACTCCCAGAATTCCTGAGCCAGCCATGCTAAGGGGAAAGGGAGAGGTTTCCAAACTGAGCCATGTTGGCTCAGGAATTCTGGGAGTTGAAGTCCACGAGTCATAAAAGAGCCAAGGTTGCCTACCCCTGGACTAGACATACATAATTCCTATAACTATTCTTCATATGTTTTAGCCTCCTAAATTTTAAATGCAAAAAAAAAGTAGCATTTTGTAGATCCCATTAGTGTTTCCTTCCAAGGGGAGAAGTTAAATTAGACAGTTGATGACTTTTGTAAATAAAAGTCCATTGTAGACTTCTGCTTCAGGTGACCATATAGAACTGATACAGCTACTTTTAGCCACAGAAACCCCATTTTGTTTGAGAAAAAAAGCAACCCTTATTTTTGCCCACTTCTATCATAGAGGGTTCCTCTTTTGACCTTTCATTCTGGGGCCCCACGTGACAGAACACCAAAAGTAGAGTCATAAAGCCTGGAAGGGACTTTGGAGGTCTTCTAGTCCAACCCCCACCCCCACCCAAGCAGGAGACCCTACACCATTTCTGACAGATGGCAGTCCAGTCTCTTTCTGAAAGCCTCCAGCGATGAAGCAGCCAAAACTCCATTGGGGAATATTAAAAAAGGCAGGATGGAATATTTCCCCTAAAGGAGAAACGGAGAAAAATCTTAACAAAGGCAGAAAGAGGCCCCAGCCTCAAGCAAAACCATGAAAAGGCCAGTCTTTAGGAGCTCCATTCAGAAAGACTGGGCCAATCTATTCATAAACAAAACGCCTTCAGCCCCCAGAACTGATGGGATGAAGAATTTACATCCCCCCACCCAAATTCTAAGGACAGGATATGACCTTTAGGACATAATAGGATGAACCTACCACTATTGACACAAGGCTCACTACATTGCACAACCCCCTGGAGCATCTCAATCAGAACCCTATCAAGATCCATCCACTCACTCAGCCATTTTGTCAGTTGTCCCAGAACTGCATGCTGTTTTCGCTTCTGCTCAATAAACAAGAACCTTTTTTCCTAAGCAGTCAGCCTCCATTTTTTATTCCCGGCTTGGAACTGGACCTGATTTTTCTTTCAATAGTTTCCATCTATTGCTTCTTGTCCTGCCTTCAGGTGCTTTGGAAAAAAGGTTGACAACCCCCACCCGCTCTTCTTTGTGGCAGCCCCTCAGATATTGGAAGACTCCTATCGTATCACCCCTAGTTCTTCTCTTCATTAAACTAGACATGCCGAATTCCTGCAACCGTTCGTCGTATGTTTTAGCCTCCAGTCCCCTGATCATCTTTGTTGCTCTTTGCACTCTTCCTAGCAAGACCATGCCTGCTTTCCATCTTCAGAGGGCAGATACCTGGAGGACAACATAGGTCTGGAGAAATGCAGTCTTTTAAAAAAAAAAAAAACACCATAAAGCTAATCTTTATTTTGCTAGGGTTGAAAAATCTTTAAGCCGGAATTGTATTGTCGGTTGACCAGCATTAAGGAAGCCCTAGAGAGCAGGGGATTAGTAGTCCATTGCAAACATGTCCTCACTAAGGAGCTTAAAGCTTCTAAATGCCTATTTTTTCACATCCAGGATATACAAACTGTTGGATTTAATTAGCATGCTAATTTAACTCTCTATGCATTTTAACCATCTGTTTCATTTGGAAAGAACGCCAGGCTAGCTTCTTTTGACATTCAAAAATTCCATGATTACTCTTCAAGTTATGCAGTAGGTTAATCTTCATATATATCCAATCCTCCAAGTGCTAAACCCTCTATAGTTGCCATGTTACCAAAGATTTCAAGTTCTCCACGTTGAAAAGTACTACAGGTAGTCCTCGACTTACGTCCACAATTGAGCCGCAAAATGTATGTTGTTAAACAAGACAGTTGTTAAGTTCCAACACTGGAAGTTTTTAAGAAGAGACCGGACAACCGTTTGTCTGAAATGGTATAGGGCAGGGGTAGGCAACCTTGGCTCTTTTATGACTCGTGGACTTCAACCCCCAGAATTCCTGAGCCAGCCACGCTGAGGGGAAAGGGAGAGGTTTCCAAGCTGAGCCATACCGGCTCAGGAATTCTGGGAGTTGAAGTCCACAAGTCATGAGGGGGCCATAGTTCCCCCATGCTGGCTCAGGAATTCTGGGAGTTGAAGTCCAGGAGTCATAAAAGAGCCAAGGTTGCCTACTCCTGGTATAGGGTTTCCTGCCTGAGCAGGGGGTTGGACTAGATGACCTCTAAGGTCCCTTCCAACTCTATTGTTATTGTTATTAGAGTTTGGGGCCAGTTTAGGATTTTTCTTGCCACGGTTGTTAAGTGAATCATTGTCGTTGTTAAGTTAGTCACACGGTTGTTAAGTGAATCTCGCTTCCCTGTTGACTTTGCGTATCAGAAGGTCACAAATGGGGATCACATGATCCCGGGACACTGCAGCCGTGGTAAAACTGAGTCAGTTGCCAAGCATTGCCAAATTTTTATTATGTGACCATGGGGATGCTGAAACAGTCGTAAGTCTGAAAAATGGTCATAAGTCACTTTTTTCCAATGTTGTCGTAACTTTGAATGGTCACTAAATGAATGGTTTTTAAGTCAAGGACTTACCTGTAATTGAGTAGGTTTCTGCAGGGCTTTGTGGCTTTTTTTTTTAATTCCAGAGGGATGAGCAGCCCATCCCATGAAAATAAATGGAATAATGTACTTACTTTCATGTATTCGTTTTGGGGCAATTGCCAGAGGCTGTAATGTACTTGAGAGCTACTAATTTAGAGGCAAATCACAATTTTATAATGGCAAAACTCCCCCATTGGTTGAACACTCCAGTTTTTATTTTATTTGGATAAAATGGGACTGAACCCAGAAATCCTGGGCACTCCATCGCTGGAAGTTTTTAAAAAGAGACTGGACAATCATCTGTCTGAGATGGTGTAGTAGGAGATCCTCCTGCTTGAGCAGCTTCTATTCTATTCTATTCTATTCTATTCTATTCTAATTCTCTTAGAGTGACATGACTCCTTTGGATTCAATCCCAACTGACTATCTCTGAAGGTACAATGGAAAACCTCAAGTTTAAGCTTCACAATTTTTTCTATTCCATTCCATTCCATTCATATTCCATTCATATTCCATTCCATTGGTCAAGCGAGCTTGTCTCTGGTCATGAAGGAAAGTGGCCGGGAGCACATAACATCCAGGAATCAAAACTAAAATACAATTTGTTAAACCTGCCTTCAACTATAAATATTGGTAACCAGATGTGATACCTTTGCAGTTGAAAAGCAGGATTAGAAATAAAAATAACAGCAACAAAAACAAACCTGAACATACTACTTTCTCTTAAAATATTCCCAATAAAACCAGGACTCTTTTTTAAAAAGCGGGCCACCCAGTGATTTTTTTTTTACTGGGCATGATATGCAGAGCAAAATCTTTGCAGGGCATTTCTTTCTATTATTGATATCATTGCTGTATAATGAAGTTTTTCTAATAATAAGAGTTGTGTGAGTTTGCCGCCTTGAGTTATTTATAAAAATAATAAAAGGTGAGATACAAACAAATAAATAAAATTCTAACCCTAACAAATAATTTTAATGTATCGTATTGCCATGACTAAATTAATGTGTATTAGTTGCTATATTTCTTATTATTTTAATTATATACTATATGATAATAAAATATTATTTCTGTTCTTCATTTATTGTGGCTATATTATTATTTTATTGTTGTTATTGTTAGATTATTGCTCATTGGTTATTTATATGTATGTACGCGTACAATATAGGTTTATTTATTATATACTGCAAACAAAGTATATTAATATTCATCACATTCGTCCGCCTCCCGACTCCTCCCGACTTCCCGTGATATTCAAGCCACGAACTACAACTCCCGTGAGTCAGCGCGCCTGCGAGAGGCGTCACTTCCGTAAAGAATTGTCTTCTCGCGATTGGCTGACCTACAGCCCATCTCTCCATTCTCATTGGCTGCCGTCCTGGGCTGGAAAGGGGAGGAGAGAAGGCTCTGCAATTCCTGGTTTGCACCGAATTGAAGCGCTTTGCAACCAGTCGGGGGGGCAGAAATTCACTTTCGCGGTGGGGCAATGCGGGGTAGAAGTAGAACCCATAATGCGCGGCCGATTGCGCATGCTGGGACTTATGCTTAAACTGCAATCATCCGGACGGGCGCTAGATAGCGTAGCGGTAGAGAGTCGGGCTTTATTGCATTGCGTGGCTCCTTCTAGTAATTCCCTGGCATTTTGCAGCATTGGGTATCCGTAACGGTGGGGCGCCAGCTTGGAGAAGGTGACTGCAGAGGAACTAGACCCTAAAGTAGAAAAAGGTATCAAAAATAAAAATAGAAAAATAAACCAATAACGCTGTAATAAAGTTTAAAGTTTAGTATAAGTTTAGCTTAGCTTTAAACTTTATTGTAAACTTGTAAGCTGGGTTGGTTTTGTGGTGAGAGAGAAAGAAAGAAAAAGAAAGAAAGGAAAAAGAAAGAAAGAAAGAAAGAAAGAAAGAAATGCGTTTTCCCCTTCTTTCCTATTAAAAAATATTCTCCACAGGGATTCCAGTTCATCAGCCAGAATATCTTTCAAAAGCAGAATACCTAAAATTTGGGGGAAGGGTAGGGGAGGAAAGGGAAAGGAAAGGAAAGGAAAAGAAAAAAAGAAGGGAAGGAAAGGGAGAAAGTGAAGGAAGGGAAAGAAGAGAAAAAGAAAGAAAGAAAGGGAAAGAAAAAGAAAGAAAGAAAGAAATACTTTTATTATTCCTTATTTATTTCAAGGTTAGGGTGATAATCCTGGCTACCTTTGCCTGTATAATTTGATTTGGGCACCCTCTGGCTCTGGGCACTTGTTTTTGTGTGTGTAAAAAATTAGGTTTTAAGAAGAGACTGGACAGCCACTTGTCTGAAATGGTTTGGGGGGGTGTCTCCTGCTTGGACGGTCTCTTCCAGTTCTGTTAAGTTTGTATTTTATTTCTTGCTTCTCTCTTAAACTTCTAGATGTTTGCGGCCCGTTGTGCACGCTTGCTTCTTCGGCGTTGTTCTTCTCTTCCATCCACAAAAACTAGCGTGGCCCCCAGACAGCTCCAAATCCGAGAAGCATTGGAGATCCAAGATCCAACTGGGTGTGGTGTTAAAATTCAGGTAGGTGGGAAGAGCAGAATTGCTACATTTTTATTGATTTATTAGACTTTGATTTCACTCTTGTTACTTGATAAGTAATTCAAGGCAGCAAAGATGTCTAATACTCCTTTCTCCGCCTGTTTCCCCACAACGACAGCCCTGTGAGGTGGGTTGGGCTGAGAGAGAGGGACTGGCCCAATCACCTAGCTGGCTTTCATGCCTAAGGCGGGACTAGAATTCTCAAGCTCCTGGTGATTGGCCCAAAGTCACCCAGCTGGCTTTCATGCCTAAGGCAGAACTAGAACTCACTGTCTCCTGGTGATTGACCCAAAGTCACCCAGTGGCTTTCATGACCTAAGGTGGAACTAGAACTCTCAGTCTCCTGGTGATTGGCTCAGAATCACCCAACTGGCTTTCGTGCCTAAGGCAGGACCAGAACTCACCGTCTCCTGGTGATTGGCCCAAAGTCACCCAGTTGACTTTCGTGTGTGATTGGCCCAAAGTCACCCAGCTGACTTTCGTGCCTAAGGCGGGACCAGAACTCACCGTCTCCTGGTGATTGGCCCAAAGTCACCCACTGGTTTTCACGTCTAAGGCATGACTAGAACTCACCGTCTCCTGGTGATTGGCCCAAAGTCACCCAGCAGCTTTCGTGCCTAAGGCGGGACTAAAACTCGCAGTCTCCTTATGATTGGCTCAAAGTCAACCAGCCGGCTTTCGTGCCTAAGGCGGGACTAGAACTCACCATCTCCTGGTGATTGGTCCAAAGTCATCAGGTGGAATTCTACATCCTTTTTGCCACAGTTGTTTAGCGAATGTATTATGTTTGTTAGGTGGTCATTAAGCGAAGCCAGCTTCCCCATAGACTTTGCTTGTCAGAAGCTGTCTGGGAAGGCTACAAACAGTAATCTTCCCAGCTGGCTTCTTACAAGCAAAGCCAATAGAGAAGCTGGATTTGCTTAATGACCACCTGATTCACTTAACGACCGGTAATCACATGACCCTGGGATGCTGCAATTGTCATAAATGCAACCTAATTTTGATCATGTAACCGTAGCGATGCTGCCATGGTCATAAGCATGAGGACAGGTCATAAGTCACTGTTTTCAGTGCCACTGTAACTTTGAATGGTCGTTAAGCAGCAAATGGTTGTAAATCAAGGACTATCTGTATAAGCATAGTGTGTGATGAGGTTATGGTGGTCTTTCTTTCTTTCTTTCTTTCTCTTTCTATGTACCTACCTACCTATATTTATCTACCTATCTATCATCCATCTCTATCGGTCTGTCTGTCTGTCTGTCTATCTATCTATCTATCTATCTATCTATCTATCTATCTATCAATCTATCATCTATATCAATCATCTAGCTATCTAGCTCTATCTACCTATCATCTAATCATCATTATCTGTTATCTATCATCTATCTCTATATCTATCTAGTCATTATCAATCTATATCAACCATCTATATCAATCTATCATCAATGTATATCAATCATCTATCAATCTGTCTATCAATCTATTTATCGGCTGCCCATCTTAACCACCAGGTAATTCTGGGCAACTTACAAGATTAAAAAATAAAACTGTATACAAGAATACTACAAAACTATAAAAATATTTTTCCGTTATAGAGCTCTGTCTAACTCCATCTTTGGCTAGAGATGAATTAATTCCTGATTTTTTCCCTGTCCAGGGTTGGGTCCGTTCCGTCCGGTCTCAGAAAGGAATTTTGTTTCTCCATGTCAATGATGGCTCCTCATTGGAGCATCTCCAGGTGGTGGCAGATCCATGTTTGGAGCCCAGGTAGTTTCATCATCTCTGGGTAGCTAGATGGGGCTGAGGGGTGGGGCTACACTACTTTAGGTCGCATAAGAAGGTTGCTTTCAAAGCATAACAGAATAACAGAGCTGGAAGGGACCTTGGAGGTCTTCTAGTCCAGCCCCCTGCTCAAGCAGGAAACCCTATACCATTTCAGACAAACGGCTGTCCAACCTCTTCTTAAAACCTTCCAGTGTTGGAGCACCCACAACTTCTGGAGGCAAGTCTTTCAGAATAACAGTATAACTGAGTTAGAAGGAACCTTAGAGATCTTCTAGTCCAACCCCCTGCTCAATCAGGAGACCCTATATCATTTCAGACAAGCCACTTCTTAAAAACCTCGAGTGCTGGAGCACCCACAACTTCTTGTGGCAAGCTGTTCTACTGATTAAATTGTTCTCACTGTTAGAAAATTCCTCCTTAGTTCTAGACTGTTAGAGCATGCACAGTCTTATTGCGCTGAGATAACCCAGGAGTAAACACAGTAAACAGTGGTCTATATTAAATGGTGGTTTATCTTACACTATCTACAATATCATACACCAGGAACAATATACATGCATGTGATAATACAGCAAACACCAACACACAGCAGTTACAGCAGGAAACGGCCGAGAGAGACACTCCAGCAAAAGCCTTCCCTTTTATACTCAGGCTCTTAAAGGGATACAGACCCTGCTGAGTCATTCCTATCATTGCATCATCCGCCTTATGTTACATAGATTGCTTCTCTCCTTGATTAGTTTCCATCCGTTGCTTCTTGTCCTGCCTTCTGGTGCTTTAGAAAATAAGTTGACACCCCACTCTTCTTTGTGGCAGCCTCTCAAAAGTTGCAGCAGTGCCACTCCCGTTTTGCACACAAAGAGAGAGAGGGAGAGAGAGGGAGAGAGAGAGAGAGAGAGAGAGAGAGAGAAGACTGGGGAGTTGTGCACATTGAGCTGAAATTTTGTCTGTAACTGATTCAAAGTCCTTCGATCAAGGTTTTTGCCGTAAAATTGTTTCTGGTTTCATTCCAGGACGCTGACTTTTGGCAGTTCCGTGGAAGTGCAAGGGAAGCTGGTGAAAAGTCCGCACAAGGGACAAGGGGTGGAGCTGGCGGCGGAGAATATACGTGTAGTGGGACCTTGTGACGTTTTGGTAAGGGAATTATTCTCCAATGCTGGGGCTGGTTTTTTTTTTTTTTTTTTTTGCTGCAAGCTTTTCTGCAAAAGAATTCCATTGCAAGCTCACTGTACGCTGTAGGGCTCCTCCTGGAGTAAAGATAATTTATTGTTTATCTGCATCCTACCTTTCTTGTTTTTACAAAGAACTCCAAAGCTGTGAATACGCCTACTATTCCTTCCTTCCTCCTATTTTCCCCACGACAACAACCCTGTGAGGTGGGTTGGTCTGAGAGTGAGAGAGGGACTGGCCCAAAGTCATCCAGCTGGTTTTTGTGGCAAAGGAGGGACTAGAACAGGAATCTTCAGACTTGGCCCTTTTATGACTTGTGGACTTCAACTCCCAGAATTCCTCAGCCAGCGTGCCTGGCTGAGGAATTCTGGAAGTCCACAAGTCATAAAAGGGCCAAGTTTGAAGGCTCCTGGACTAGAACTTAAAAGTCTCCTGATGATTGGCCCAAAATCACCCAGTCAGTTTGCCTGCCTAAACCAGGACTAGAACTCACAGGCTCCTGGTGATTGGCCCAGAGTCACCCAGCTGACTTTCATGCCGAAGGTGGGACTAGAACTTAAAAGTCTCCTGATGATTGGCCCAAAATCACCCAGTCAGTTTGCCTGCCTAAGCCAGTACTAGAACTCACAGGCTCCTGGTGACGGACCCAAAACCACCCAGCCAGCTTTCAAGACTAAAGCCAAACTAGAACTCACAGTTGCCTGGTAATTGGCCCAAGTCACCCAACTGGATTTCATAGCTAAGACGGGACTAGAACTCAGAATCTCCTGCTTTCCAGCTTAGTCCTTTCACCACTAGACCAGAGGTAGGCCACCTTGGCTGTTTTATGGCTCGTGGACTTCAACTCCCAGAATTCCTGAGCCAGCCATGCTGAGGAGAAATGGAGAGGTTTCCAAGCTGAGCCATGCTAGCTGAGGAATTCTGGGAGTTGAAGTCCACGAGTCATGAAGGGGCCATAATTCCCCCATGCTGGCTCAGGAATTCTGGGAGTTGAAGTCCACGAGTCATGAAGGGGCCAAAGTTTCCCTCATGCTGGCTCAGGAATTCTGGGAGTTGAAGTCCACGAGTCATGAAGGGACCATAGTTCTCCCATGCTGGCTCAGGAATTCTGGGAGTTGAAGTCCCTGAGTCATGAAGGGGCCATAGTTCCCCCATGCTGGCTCAGGAATTCTGGGAGTTGAAGTCCACGAGTCATGAAGGGGCCATAGTTCCCCCATGCTGGCTCAGGAATTCTGGGAGTTGAAGTCCACGAGTCATGAAGGGGCCATAGTTCCCCCATGCTGGCTCAGGAATTCTGGGAGTTGAAGTCCACAAGTCATAAAAGTCCACGAGTCATAGAGTGGCCTAGGCCTAGGCCAGAGGTAGGCAATCTTGACTTTTTTATGACTTGTGGACTTCAACTCCCAGAATTCCTGAGCCAGCCATGCTGAGGGGAAAGGGAGAGTTTCCAAGCTGAGCCATGCTGGCTGAGGAATTCTGGGAGTTGAAGTCCACAAGTCATAAAAGAGCCAAGGTGGCCTACCCCTGCACTAGACCAAACTGCCTCTATATTTTTTTATATACTTTCTATATATTCTCCCTTCTTTAGGCATTCCCTCTGAAATACAAAGTCCATCATTCTCTGGAATATCTCCGAGAGCTGCCTCACTTCCGATGCCGAAGCAACGTGCTGGGTGCCCTGTTGAGGGTACGCAGTGAAGCCACTGCAGCAATCCACTCCTATTTCAAGGTAATTCCGGTCCTTGGGAACTGCCTGCCACAGGATGTGTGGCTGTCGGTTGGGAAAGTGATCAGTTCATAGACAGAACTGGCTGCTAACCGGCGGAGCCATATACAGGCTGAGTGGGACTGTCTTAAATGAACCCAGTTGTGAATTTAAAACTATTCAGACACTGGACCACCAGGGGGAAGCATTTGTACACTTTCAAGTTTCCTTGCTGGAGAAATATTTTATTGGCTGCATGTTACGGCTTTTTAAAATCCTTTCTAGCCAAACTGGCCTTGTTTTGTCCTTGGATCACCTTGCAAGATAGTCCACAATACCGAAAGCCCGGTCACCCAGGGATTTGAACCCATCTCTTCTGACCTCAGATAGATGACCTCTAGTTTAATGAAAAGAGGGGGGGGACATGATAGCACTGTTTTTGAAGGGCTCCTACAAAGGGGTCCACCTTATTCTCCAAAGCGCCTGAAGGCAGGACAAGAAGCAACGGATGGACACTAATCAAGGAGAGAAGCAACCTAGAACTAAGGAGGAATTTCCCGACGGTGAGAACAATTAATCAGGCTTGCCTCCAGAAGTTGTGGGTGCTCCATCACCGGAGGTTTTTTAAGAGACTGGACAGCCATTTGTCTGAAATGGTATAGGGTTTCCTGCCTGAGCAGGGGGTTGGACTAGATGACCTCCAAGGTCCCTTCCAACTCTATTAATCTACGTTCTCAATTTTCACTGCCCTCAACCGGTTCTGCCATGAGTTCAAAGTGAGCATCACACTGGATGGTATAAACCAGATCTGGGCATTTTACGGCCTGTGGGCCACATCTGGCCTTTTGGCTGCCCCGGTCTGACCCGTGGTGGTGGGTGATGGCAGTGGGCCAGGGGCGGTGAGAGTGGCCTTCCACAGCAGTTCCACTTTCTCATGTGGCCTCTTGGGAAAATTAATTGCCTCCCCCTGGTTTAAGCTTATATTTCTGTTTCCACAGTTTTGCCTAGGTTGTTCCATCTTCTGCATGGTGGTCTCCTGTTTGGAGATTGTATATATACATACATATATGAGCAGGGGACTGGACTAGAAGACCTCCAAGGTCCCTTCCAACTCTTCTCTATCCTATCCTATCCTATCTATCTACTGTATCTATACCTATTATCAATTGGTGTTGTTGTAGTGTGTGTCTTTGATGTTGTCTGTCCACCTTTTTTCTGAGTCTGCCCTGTGTTCTTTGACCTCCACCTCTTTTTGTATACACCTTGTATAGTATGAAATCGCACATACAGTTTGTATGTTTGTGTATATAATTATGTACATGTGTGTATATATGTATATGTGTGTGTGTATATATATATTTAAATTTACCAACCAAGAATTAAAGGGAGACTAGCATAGCTATTTCGAACTATTTAGCTCTCATCAGCTAGCCATACCCTTCATGCATGTGCGTGCGCGCGCACACACACAACATATATATTTGCTGATGCTTTATTTAAACTTGCATTTGTGTCTGTATGTATAATATGATTTATTACAGTTAGGCCTCGACTTACAACAGTTCATTTAGTGACCATTCGAAGTTACAACAGTGTTGAAAAAAGTGACATATGACCCTTTTTCACACTTAACAACCAAAATTCAAACGCTTGGCAACTGACTCACATTTATGATGGTTGCAGCATCCCAGGATCACGGGATCCCCGTTTGCGACTTTCTGACAAGCAAAGTCAATGGGGGGAAAGCCAGATTCACTTAACAACCGCGTTACTAACTTACTAACCGCGTTACTAACCTGAAGGGATTCACTTATAAGTGCGGCAAGAAAGGTTGTAAAACGGGGCAAAATTCACTTCACAACTGTCTCACATAGCAACATAAATTCTGGGCTCCATTGTGGTCGTGAATTAAGGACTCTCTGTACTGTTGTATAGCAGTGGTGGCATGACCTCTGTAGATGCCCTACTACGCTAAATAAAAAGTAAATAAAAATTCATGCTTTCATTCACATTTTTTTAGTAGCCGCCCAACTTTGATGGAGCCTGGACTCTAATAATAATAATAATAATAATAACAACAACAACAACAACAACAACAATAACAATAATAATAATAATAATAATAATAATAATAATAATAATAATAATAATAATAATAAAAAAAAAAAAGTTGGAAGGGACTTTGGAGGTCATCTAGTCCAACCCCCTGCTCAGGCAGGAAACCCTATACCATTTCAGACAAATGGCTGTCCAGTCTCTTCTTAAAAACTTCCAGTGTTGGAGCATTCACCACTTCTGGAGGCAGGTTGTTCCACTGGTTAATTGTTCTAACTGTCAGGAAATGTCTCCTTAGTTCTAGGTTGCTTCTCTCCTTGTTTAGTTTCCATCCGTTGCTTCTTGTCTTCTATCTCAGATCAGCCATGAGCAGAATAACTCTGTTTCTTTCTGTCCCTTTCTCTCCTTTTAGGAAAATGGGTACACCCATATACACACCCCGATAATTACGTCCAACGACTGTGAGGGTGCTGGCGAAGTCTTCAAAATTGAGGTAAGGGTCCGGATAACCCTAGGGTCTCCTGCCTGAGCAGGGAGCTGGACTAGATGACCTCCAAGGTCCCTTCCAACATTATTATTGCTATTGCTATTGCTGCTGCTATTATTATTATTATTATTATTATTATTATTATTATTATTATTATTATTATTATTATTATGGATCATCGCACAGTCAGCCAGATGTTCAGACTGGATTTAGCATTTTGTCTACCTATCGAGTCTTTCCCAAGGATCTGGGATAGGCAGATGTGGATGTTTGATGTTATTACAGATGTTGTTGTTGTTATTATTATTATTATTACAGTGATCCACTTAACAACCGGGGCAAAGAAGATCGTAACATAGGGCAAGACTCACTTAACAGCTGCGTTTGCTTAGCAGCAGGAATTTGGGGGTCAGTTGTGGTCGTAAGCCGAGGATTTACACAGGATGAGGGCACCGATATATCTACGGAGATTTTTTCTCGGTGGTTACACCCAGTTGCCCAAAGCACCCTCCTATCCATATCCATCTGTGAGCATTTCCTGCTACAGCAAAAATGCCTTTCTTAGACCCGCTGCTTTGGCTGCAGCATCCCCTTAACTTCTGTGATCTTGAAAAGCTCAGTTAAAAAAATTAAGTGACTTGGATAAGATCTCTGCATTTAGCTTTCCCCCCCCCCAGCTTAGCTAATGTTTTTCTTCCTGCTGTTTACCGGATTGCCTGTTTCTGATCGATTTGATTACAAGCTGCACTGTTTAGGTGAGCAAATTGCTCTTCTCTTATAGAATGGCAAATATTAAAATACTAATTAATAGCAGTATTCCAGAATCTGAGGGGCTGCCACAAGGAAGAGGGGGTCAGGTTGTTCACCAGAACACCAGAGGGAAGGACGAGAAACAATGGGTGGAAATTAATCAAGGAGGGAAGCAACCTGGAATTAAGGAGAAAGTTCCTAACAGGGAGGACAATTAACCAGTGGAACAGCCTGCCTCCAGAAATCGTGGGTGCTCCATCACTGAAGATTTTTAAGAAGAGACTGGAGAGTCACTTGTCTGAGATGGTATAGGTCAGGGGTAGGCAACCTTGGCTCTTTTATGACTC